GCCACCAACTGATGAACCACCAACTGAAGGACTGCCAACTGATAAACCACCAGCTGAAGGACCACCAACTAAAGGACCACCAACTGATGAACCACAATTTGATGAATTGCCAAATGACGAACCACCAACTGAAGGGCCACCAACTGATGAACCACCCATTGAAGGTCCACCAACTAACGAAATACCAACTGAAGGACCACTAACTGATGAACCACCAACTGATGAACTACCAATTGAAGGTCCACCAACTGACGAAATACCAACTGAAGGACCACTAACTGATGAGCCACCAATCGAAGGGCCACCAACTGACGAAATACCAACTGAAGGACCACTAACTGACGAACCACCAATTGAAGGGCCACCAACTGATGAACCACCCATTGAAGGTCCACCAACTGACGAAATACCAACTGAAGGACCACTAACTGATGAACCACCAACTGATGAACCACCAACTGAAGGACTGCCAACTGATAAACCACCAGCTGAAGGACCACCAACTAAAGGACCACCAACTGATGAACCACAATTTGATGAATTGCCAAATGACGAACCACCAACTGAAGGGCCACCAACTGATGAACCACCCATTGAAGGTCCACCAACTAACGAAATACCAACTGAAGGACCACTAACTGATGAACCACCAACTGATGAACTACCAATTGAAGGTCCACCAACTGACGAAATACCAACTGAAGGACCACTAACTGATAAACCACCAGCTGAAGGACCACCAACTAAAGGACCACCAACTGATGAACCACAATTTGATGAATTGCCAACTGAAGGACCACTAACTGATGAGCCACCATCTGATGAACCACCAACTGATGATAAACCACCATCAAATCAATCAACAACAACTATTGCATCTCCTATCGATTCCACAACTACGTCGGCGTCCACTGTGGTTTCCGCTTTTGGAATGTTTATTTCTGCAATTATTGCATTTCAGTGTTTGTCATAGACCAATGTTAACCTTGTTTACTATTGCCTTATAATTGTGTTGTTTTCATTTAATTTGCCAAATTCCATCTGTTGAAGTGCATCTTTTTAATACTTGAAATGTGAAACAATTCCTGCCGTATCTGCTCAAATTTATTGATCCTTCTATTTGGATGGGTGTGCTGCACTGCCTAGTGTGTAAAATGACAGCCATCGTCTTTAGTACAACTACGGATCGTTCATTTGTCAAGTTGACTGATCATTATTGTAGTAGAGTAATTATATTGGGTCAAATGCATTATTATGAAATTTCGCTTTGATTTTGCAGAAATTGTTCTCGCTACTTTTGTAAATTTGTTGATCTTCTACAGTAGGTTAAGATCTAACTTTATACAAAAAAAATCCTTTGCTTTAGCGTGGAATTCACCCAATGGCTATTTACCAACTCTAATTCATGTCCTCTTAGTTTTTGTTTTCTACTCCTTGTTGAAGTCTTTTGTTGGAAATTTCATTATGTACTTGTTAGGGATTTTGTGCACTCTGGATTAATTCAGTGACACAGTAATTGTTTACTTTCAGATGCTGTCAGATATGGCCTAAATCAAATTGCAAATGAACAATGTCGTTTTTGTGCAACTTGTCTATTATTTGGGTGTAGATCTTACTGCCTCTTCTGAGACGTGGTTCTCAAGCGATTCTTTGTACACAAGGATCCTTGCCTTTACGTAAGGAAATGTCACGTCCACGACCCGTCTGTGTGGACATTGTCAAACCATGAAGTCAAATATTTAAATATTCTGAATGCACGCCAATTCCAAGTCTAGGCTTCCGGCTAAGCCTTGCATGTCGGTCTGAGCAAGACATGAGTTGTATTATTAAGCGCGTTGAAAAGGACATCGCACTCTTATTCTCGATGCCGTTGATGCCACCGATGAAAGGCAACAAGCAGCCATTGATTTTATTCCACAGAAAAAGGCTTTTGTTATCACATTTGGCTGCGTAATGTGATTCAAATATCTCACTCCACTGATAAGAATGTGCAGACGCCGTGAGGCCGGTGGTTTTCGTTTTTTATTGAAGTTGGTTGGTGTGTCAGCTATTCCACATGGATTAAGCCATATATTCGGATGTTTGAGACAACGAGCGAGACAGTTGTCTGACATTGGGTGCGCTTGCCAGCTGCTGTCGTCGACGTCGTCGTCATTGAACTTGATGCTTCGGTTTCAACTGCAGCTGCTGCCATAGGTCGTGGACAATAATCGAGTGATTGCATGTACCAGTATGTGCGCAGTGCGTGCCTGTATGGATGACTAACCCCGCACGGTATTTGGTGTGTGTGTTTGTCAGCTTTCTTTAGAGCAATTGTCAGTGACACACATAGGTAAACACATATTAGCTAGTGCCGACTTGGAGCACCAATGTTGCAATGTGAATTGCGTATTTTGATGTGGAACTGTTAACTGCCATGACAT